CTTGTTTATACTTATGTCAAAAAAGGATGCTTTGCAAAAAATTGCGATGATTAGAGCCTGAGAACAAAAATGACCCAAAATTTTTTGCCTCCCTGCCCCAATCATTAGAGCAACAAGTTAGTAAAATATTTTTGTACATTTCTCAACTAGGTTTATATTCATTGATAAACTTTAAATGTCATAGTGAAATAAATTTGCCTTCAAAAATTAAGATCTTACAAAGTTTGAACCTTTCTCGATATTTTATATTTTTCTCAGAATTGGGACAGGGTGGAAGAAAATTTTAGAGCTTTTTTGTTCCTAGGCTATAATTATTTATACTTTTTGCAAAGTATCCTTAATTGACGTAAAAATAAACATAAATCTTTGGAGTTTGCTTAATGTCTGGAAGTTAGCTATCTCAAAGATTAAAAAATGCTACATCTCCCCTGATGTATATTGAAATTGTCTATATTTTATAAAAGCAGCCAAGAAAATTCAATGTTTTCTTTCAAAAAAAATGCTTAACAAGCAATCTTTTTTAACATAAATGCTTTGTTTTAACTAAAGATTTAAAGCAACTATATAAGTAAAACGGGGCTATTATCTATTTACATTTTTTTAACTTTAGTTAATAATTATGAAATTTTAGCCTCAAATTGTCTACTACACTAGTGTTGACCTTGCGTTATCAGCAGGGTCAACACTATTCAAGCGAGAAATTTTTTTATATAATTACAACCCAGTATAAAATTATTTAAATTTATTTATCTTTTATTGATCAAATCAATCAATATTAGGTCATGAAGTATCTGTTCATTTAGCCAATAATGTGTTTTAACAATTTGTGGCTATGAAAATAGCTGTTTTAAATAAGTGTATTATAGAGAAGTTTTTATTCGCTTTCTGCATGGTACTGGCTCTTCATTAATTTCAAAATGAACCTCTTCCTTGGAATTTCCATCTTTTAAAGGTCGGAAGACTTTTTGATTTCCAATGGTATTATCATTATAGCCAAAATCACGGACAGATGGATTATCTTTGTGAGAACCAATTTGGCGTTGATGTCCAAAATAATTTTCAAGTGGATCTTGACAAAATCTTTCTGTTAATACATAAGACACCATTAGAAAGTAAAAATTTTATCAACTCAACAGCAGAATCAACAGTAATTTTAATCCCTTTCATAGGTTTGCCACGATATAAACATTTTACTTTTATCATTTGGGTAAAGTTACCTTGACAGTTATTGATGGAATTTAACCACTTTTCGAAATATGGCAAAAATTCTGTTTTAAGCCGGTTAAAACGATAGTCATCAATAGAAGAAAATGGGACTAAGAATAGCTTTGACTTTTGAATTGATTCCATAGGATTACTAATATTCATAATATCAAAAAACTGTCAATCATTGAGCAAAAGTTAGCAGTGGCAAAAATCTGAAGGTCCATAATTAAGAAGGACTTTACTCACAGTATTGCTAAGAACTTGAGCTGCCAATTTGACGTTCATAATAGAATAAGATGATAATTTTATGTGTTCATATGATAATTTTGGAAGTAGATGGAAACCACATGTTTGGTCTTCTTTAAAAATGTCTGCTTTGTGACTCCATATAATGCATAAACCATCATTCCACATGTATCTAGTACATTTACCAGAGCCAGAGCTAAAAATACAGTTTCTTGTTGTCTTAAGAAGATGTGGGGGGTCAGATATAAAGTAAATATACCTTTCAGGACTATATAGATTAATAGTTTTATAAGTGACATCTACATCTTTTTTATCATTAAAATTAGATAAACAAGAATGCATTTAAAAAAATTTTTGGTTAGGAGCAGCACCATTGCAAGTTGTTGCTATAACTTTTAACTTACATTCCAGTTCGCATAAAGCAACAGCTTTCCAAAATAATAAAAAAATTTGGGCAGATGATATTCCAAGTGTGGCAAAATAGCTAGTGTAAACTTAAAAGGGTTAACTATACTGTGTATCATGAATACTAGAACATGAGTTGCTACTGCATCAACTTTTTGTAAAGTTGCATAGTTTAAGACCTTGGTGATATTGATATCACCAAGGTCAACAAATCCTATAATTTCTCCTGTGTGTTTATACCATACAAGATTTTCTTGAATTTTAATTTCATCAAACAACAATACAATATATTTTTCTATTTCACTAAAATCTTTTACTTTTGATTTCAACTCTTTTACAATATCAGGATTGAAACCACATTGAGAATAAATATAATTCTTGTAGTCACGAAGACGACGCCGACTTGGTAATACAAGAAAACCAGTACCAGACTTTTTATCAAAGCAAATATCCTCATATGCGCTAGGAGACTTTGCACAAAGGCTTAGGCATTACTGTATAATCATAGGATGATATCGAACAGATGTTGGATTTGATAATAAGTATTTTTGTTGCTCATTCCAAAAGAACTTCATAAATGGTGAAACATTATATTTTTCAAAAGCATTTGACATAAGACTTTTCATATCATCATCAAGGTTTCTTATTTCTTGTTTTAAAAAAGCATTTTCAGATCGATAGTTTTGCAAAGTAAGTTTAATTAATAAATGTTAAAAAATAAATGCGGTAGTGGTGCAGTGGTAGAGCGCTTGCTTCATAAACGAGTGGTTCCAAGTTCGATCCCCACCACGTCCCTGGTAGTACCACGCTCAACTCGTTTCTCCGCGCAGCGGCCTTGTTTGTCAAGGTTCGTGTTTCGGAGTTATAGAGTTGAGAGAGGGTTATAGCCATAAAATAAGTAGCCTCCTCGTCTGTAGTGGCCTTCTCGGCCTTGAGGAGGTGAAGTAAAATAAAATTAAAAAAAAAAAATTCTATCAGGTGAAGTTAATGAGATTGGGGCATTCAATTGAGCAGGTTTTGTGATTCAGCTTTACGTTTTACAGCCTTATGATGTTTATTATTATGTGACAATTCCAAAGTTTTACATTCATTACAAATATTACCAGATTTTATCAATAACAAACACAAAGTTGACCTGTTAAATTCAGTCTCAAATGTAGTAATTGAAGAAACACTTGGGTTGTACAACTTTGTAAGAATATGTTTTTTAAAAATGTTTGAACCAGAGGCAACACCCTGACATAATGAGTACGTTGATAAAAGAGTAATAATATTCGATAAAGTAATGTTTTTAACTGATTTGTCATAATTAGAATATATCTCATGCTTATCTGGTAAGTTCCAAGCAAAAGATTGTATTGTAAAAAATAGGCTAGGTTGAATATATACTTCATATTGGGGTTGTAGGGGAATATTATCTAATTTAAAAACTTTGACTAAATCTTTTGATATAACATGTTCCCATGATTCCAACATAAGGGTGCTGACACAATCTACAAATTCTGAAAACGATTTATAAAAAGAATGTACATCATTTTGAACTTTGTCAATTTCACAGCAATCTTTTTTCAACTCAATACTTAATGTTGGAAGTTTTGATATTGCTAAGGAACTAAAAAAAAGGAAAAAGAAAAAAATACTTTTAAATGAAAAATTAAAAAATAAAAAATAGATCTTTTTAAAATTTTTACCTAGATGTTTAAACACTCCTTTTTGGTAAATTTTTTGAAGGTAAAGATCCTGGTAAAAGTCTTGCTCTTGCTGAATCTATAAAAAAATGTTATTTCAGTATTTTTAAAACAATGAACTAATAAATGAATAATATTTATAAATGCTATCAGAAATATAAACATTTATATATATATATATATATATATATATACACACACACACACACACACACACACACACACACACACACACACACACACACACACACACACACACACACACACTTGAATATGTGAACACATAGCTTACTTCTATTAACTTCCTGATCTTCAAAATGCTTTTCGCATACATGTAAAGATTCGCTGGCAATTTGTTTTCTTAATGCTGAATCAATCGAACAATCTTTTGTGACAATCTCAATCAATTTTCTTCTCCATTCAACATTATAGTCATCCTGACCTTTAGGAAGACTGAATATAGCTATACCGTTTGGATAACAAGAAGTAGTACAACCATATATTGAACAATTTGCTCCAGGCATTGTACTTATAGTTAAACTATAAAAAATTGTTTGTTTTGCACCTTAAAGTAGGCTGGGTACAAGAACTTAACATCAACGCAAAAACTATTGTTCCCAGGCCGTGTTTCCAGACTATTTATTCTTATGACTATGATTTTTATTATTTAACACTTTATTGTAAATTTTATGGCTTACTTTAAAATCTAATTCTCCTTAGGAAGTTCTGTATCAATTTTATCGCATTCAAAGATTTTAAATGATTCACGTATCTTAACTTGATTGGTGTCTTACTAATAACAGTATATATAGTTTTTTTTTAGGGTTAGAATTTTCAGAATTATAGTAGCACAATAAACTATATTATCTACTAAACATTGATTGTTTAATGGGCGAGCGGATTTTGTGATGCAAATAATATTTCTTATGTTCTGACTTTATTGAATGTGTAAAATCCTACAGCTCTAACTTACTTTGATTTTTTTTTTTTAACATCTTTGCTTCCAACATGGCTGCAAGCAACCACTAATTAAAGTTGGAAGTTACTGGAAGAGAAAAGATGAAGTTTGTAGAGCAAGATAACGATTGGCAGACTTTTTCTGTGACTGTTCCTAAGCAGCACTTAGGAACAGTCACAGAAAAAGGCTGAGACTTAATTGAACGACGAGTAACATGAGAATGAGTTTTAGTAGATGGCACAAGAGACGCTAGCTCTTTAGAGCATTCCAGTTAACAGCCTGACTAATGATAAGAATAATTCTGACTGATGGTAAGACTAATCCTGTGATTGCTCTAGCTGACTTGCCAGCAAAGGTTTTTCTATGACAGGATATTACCTGTTGTAAACAGCAAATCAAAATTTTGTTCGGATTATTTATTATTCACACATCAACAAAAAATTTTGATGTGTGAATGTCTTGATGTTTTCTTTTTTTGAAACTTTGTTTATTGTTAGGTTACAATACATTCTAATGATATGGATCTTGTTGGAAATATTATTCAAAGTTTAGCTTCATTTCTAGCTATACAGGTATTCTATTTATTCAATTTTTTTTTTCTTGTTTAGTTTTATTTTATAATTTAATATTATATTATTTTTTTACAATTTAAAAGGACCTCCAATCAGTAGTAGAGTTTCCTGATCAAATAGAAGAACTTAAAGCCATTCTGATAAAGGTAGAATTAAAAACTATTCCAGAGCTTGTTTTTAATTTAAAAACAAGCTCTGGAATAAACGTTTTAAAAAAATATTTTAAAAGGTGGATGAGCTTCATGCAGTGCGTGAACGATTAACTGCTGAAATGGCTGATCATTCTAATTTAATACGAAACCTTGTTATCAGAGCAGAAGATTCTCGCCTTATGTTGGACATGTGAGTCTTAAGCTATCTATTTTTTGTTGTGATGTTAATGGTTTTAAAAGGTTCTAAGTTTAATGTTTGTATTTATTCATTCATTTGATTCAATCAAATCAGTTGCGTTAATAACACTTTATAATTGTTAATAATTTAATTAATTAATTTTAGGTTTAAAGCAGGGATTGTCTTTTTCCGGATACATCCGTAATCCTGGATATTTCTTACAGCTTTTAGTTTTTCCGTAAATACAAAAATTGAGAAAGCCATCTGTTAACACTTTTAATAAAACTAAATATGAGGGAAATAAGTTCCGGATTTTTTCTTTTTGCAAAGTGTTTTCCGGATTTTTTAAGTAGGACCTAGATGATCTCTGGTTTAAAGTTAATTCTACAAATTTCTTAACAAGCAAGAAACTTAAATGCTATCCTTAACTTTATTGGCAAACAAACTACAAATAAATAAACTTAAATCAAAAATATGAAAATATTTTGATTAACGTCTGAATGAAGATAACGCATGAGCAATTTTCGATTTAAGGTAGTGCCATTTCTTTCGATTATTTTGCTTTTTAGTTGAGGGAAGTTAGGAGAAAGTTGCAAAATTAAAGGAAATGGCGGGCATTTTGCTATGTAACAATTGATATTTATTATTATTAGTTAATATCGGGTGGACACGGAAAAATCCGGTCAACTTTAAATTGAGATTTCTCTAAAACCGCTTTTTATTTCAATTTTTTTTTTTTAATTAAACGTTACTTTCTTATCTTTAATGGTGTTGATAAACTTTTGTTTACAAATTAATGATTTGCAAAATATTTCTGAAACAAAATGATATGCGTAAAAAAGTTTAGAATTTTTTTTGCAAAAATCCATCGACTTATCGCTTAAACATATCGCTTGATTGCTAAACGCGCAAATGTCCCAAAATCTATACTTTGGGACATTAGTGCGTCATAGATATTATAAATAAGTTCAACACTACTCAAAGCTTTGAAAGAAAACTTGGAAGTGGAAGAAAGCAAACTTTTCATAAATCCAAAAAGGTAACGTCGATATTACGTTCAATAGCAAGAAGTCAAAACCACAGCGAGATTTTGCAAGAAAATTCAAGACTTCTCGTTCTTATATCGAAAAAGTACTTAAAAATGCTGGAATTAAAGCGTTTCATAAAAAAAAATACATCTAAGAGAAGCTTAAATAGTGAAATTAAAGGAATTCAACGCGCAAAGAAGTCGGTTAAAATAATGGCGGTAAAAGTATGTGCATAATTGAAGACGACGAAACATATTGCAAGGCGGATTTTTCACAATTTCCTGGTCAACAATTTTACATGAGAACAAAGATAAACCTGTCGATGATCAATTTAAATATATTCGACGAGAAAAATTTTCATCCAAGTTCCTTGTGTGGCAAGTAATTTGTAGCTGTGGTATGCAGTCCTTTTGTTTTGTCACTAAGAAGACCTTGACTGCCAATCTCTACATCAAAGAATGCCTCCAAAAAAGACTTGCTATTTATGAAAAAATTAAATACCGATGTCTCTTGGCCAGATCTTTTGGCCAGATTGCTGCCTCTCACTATTCTAAAAAAAGTTCTACAGTGGTGCAAAGACAATATTGTGAAAATTGCTCCTAAAGATGCAAATCCTCCAAATCGTCCTGAAGAGCGCAAGGTTGTAGATTTTTGGGCAATAGTTAAAGGAGTTCTTCGTAAGACAAGCGAAGTAACAAATAATAAAAAGGACTTTTAAAAAAGTGGATTAATGCCACTAATAAGGTGAAAAAAGAAAAAATCTGCAAAATGATGGCATCAACCCGCTATAAAATTCGATCTCTTGCCAAACAGCCCATCAAGCCCCTTAAAATTAAGTTGAAACTCTAATTTATATAAACATATTTAATAATAAAATAATTGTAATAAAAAGCATTTATGGTTTTAAATAAATCTCAATTTAAAGTTGACCTGATTTTTACGTGTTCACTCGATATAAGTATATATTTTTGCAGATTTTTGTATTTGTAGGAAAAACATGCGACGTGGTTACATAGAACTTTTTGCTTTAAATACCGATTTGTTAAACGGTTATAAGATAAGGTGTACAAATCATGAAGAACTCCTTAAATATTTAAAGATTGTCAATCAGACGATACAAAAAGCTGGAAATTTAAGAGGTAAGTATATAATCCAATTTAATTACTGGGTAAAATGTCATTGTTATCATAGTTGTAATAAATCTCATTAAAAAGTAAAATAAAGTTCAATAGACAAAAAAATAATGGTTCTCAAGAAAATTTGCAAATGTACGGATGGTTACTTGTGGTTTGCATTTTACTCAGTATCGCTGATTTACCTGTTAGTTTTAATGCTGTACTTTTAACAAAAGTTAATTTTAAGAAGGTTGAATAGTTGTTTTATTTATTAGTTGGGAAGTTTAAAACTCTGGTCATAACTGGATGTCGCAATGCGATCAAAACAAATGACTTTGCTGCACTCGCTAAAATTATTAAATACGGAGTCTAAAACTGTATTTGGAACAACAACTACATCTTTAGTTACAGTTTCCAAATCTCACGTTATTACCAATATCCGCCAATCCACATAACTGCTATTATTACCTAAAACTCCACGCCACTATTGACAAAGTATTACAAATTATTGCATAATTACAAAAGAGTTTATGAAATTCATATAAAATATAACATAATATATTCATATAAAATCAAATATTTATAAAATAAAAAAGAAGTATATTGAAATTTCTAGCATGTAGAGTAGATTTATTTATTAAAGTTTTTATGAAATTTATTGTATATAGAAATAATAATTTTTACTGTATTATTACGACTTGTAATATTTTTTAAGATTGTAATAATTAAGTCCCCAATAAAACAAGAAAGTGTGAATATCGGATTCTTGTCAAACTCGATAAAACTTAAAGTGGTTTTAACAACAAATTAAAATTGCTGGCAGAAAAACAAATAAAAGATTTTAAAGTACTAATTTCTATAATATTTACATATTAGTGCAGAATTTAGTTTTAGGTATTGTCTTCCTTCGTGACAAAGGGACACTATATCCACGAAGGCTTCGTGCGTTTGTACAAGAAATTTTTAAGTCATTAGGAATTGTAACATCCACAAGGTGTTCTTAAGTTCTAAAACCGAAGATCGTAAAGTTTACATTAGAGTCTGTATTGTAGTATTTGTTTAACTTCTATAATTGGTCGATTTTAATTAGGTATTTCTGTTTTATTTTATTTTTAAGTTCTAAATCTTTATTTTTAAAATTTTAATAGTTATTTTAAACTTTTATGAGTGGTATGAATTCTGGAAACCCAATTCACGCGTTGTATGTATTCTTCAACATCATTGAACTCCTAATATATGTGATTTTAATGTTTTATGCCTTATATTTGTGGAAAAATTTATCTTTATCCATTTTTAAAGATTTTTTTTGTGTAAAACTAACTAATAAGTATGCACTTAGAAATAATAATATAATATATGAACTCTTTTGTCGAACCAAGTTTAATCAGTTTTGTGTAACACATTGTGCACTATATCTTTAGAGTAATTTTTTCAATTTTAAAATATATTACACTTTTCCCATTTTAAATATAAACTGAAAAATTTGATTCTCTCAATGGATGATGTGGTCATCGCCCATTGAGAGAATTAAAATACTTCTAATTTTAGCTGTGTAAATTTTTTTGGAACTTTTATTGTTAAATACGTCTAACTTTATTTATTAATGTGATCTACGTCCAAAATAAAAATAGTCACTTACTCTTCTTAGTGGGGACAACGCCCTTTTTTTTTTTCCCTCTTAAAGTTTTTTAAAATAATTTTTTTTATTTCTATGTATATAACTCACTATTTTCTTTGAAAAAGAAATAAATAAATCAGATCTGATTTGTAGACTGTTTAAGTATGATATTAAAATTTGAGCCCTTGCCTGCCTACAAATCCGATAATTTAAAAATCTACCCCCTAACTAGATGGTCAGAATCTACCAAATCAAAAAAATATAAAATCGCCCGCTGTGAACTCCTCCTCCCCCCCCCCCCTCATCCTCTTCCCTTTTTCTTCCGCACGTAGATGGTCTGGATCCGCTTCGAGTTTGGAAATTGTTCTACATATAAACCACTCCTAATTATGTTGTTAAAATTATATATTTTTTTTTTTGCATTTCATTTATTTTGCTTTTTAACAAAAATAATCAACATATATAAAAGAAAGAAAAAATATGTCCATAAAACGAAGAAGACAGTAAAATCTTTACAACAAGCACCGTTTTTGTATGTACAATATAAAATATAAACTTTTCTATTTACAATGATCTTTATAGAATAAAGAATTAAACAGAAAGGGGCTCAAAGTAGATGAAGATGACATATGTCATCGCAATTTTTTTATAGAGCCCCTATATATATTTTCAATAAAATAAAGATATTGTATTAATAACCCTAACGGGCATAAAACTGCTGCGCTGATCAGGAAATCAAATAAAGATAAAAAACTGAAAAAATAGAATCAAATAACTTCAGAGTTACTCAAAAAAGAATGAATCTTAAACTTTAAAAATTTCTGTTTTGAAGTTTGAGATTCATTTTGAAGCTTAAATGAACTTAATGACTTCACCATACATTTAAATCCTTTTTGATAGATATTCCATATATATGGACCTCGATATGCAATGCTATAGTCAGTATACTCCAGGAGAGAGATTATTGTTGAATTGATACATAAAAATTTAATGCTGATATAGTTATTTCAAAAATATTCATCATTTGAAAAATGCCCATCATTTTCATATCACTCATTATAGGTTTAGCGTGTTCACGCTTATTTTTAAAGTAAATGATTCTGCACGCATGTTTTGTAAGCTATAAATTTTTTTAAGTTTTGATGTTTGAGTACATGCCCATGATATATTTGCGTAACAGATAAAGCAATAAATTAATCCAAAATATATTAGTTTGAGACTTGGTTCATTTATATACGAACGTACTCGATACATCATATCAATTATATTGGTGATCATAGATTTAATAAATCTTATTTGAGGAAGCTAGAATAAATTCTTATTAACAAAAATTCCTAAAAATTTTAAACTGGCTCGTTTTTTAACTAATTTATAATTTAAAATAAGGTAAGGAAAATTAAAAGGAAGGTTTTCAACTAGTGTTTTTTTTATGGAATAATATTTTTCTCTGAGTTAAGAGAGTGTTTGTTAGCCCTAAACCAATTATTTACTTTATTTAGTTTAGTATTCATATCTGCATATAATTTCTTAATAGCATTGTTAGTGAGAAATAGATTTTTATTATCAGCAAACATGACTGAATTTAGTTTTAAAGATGCATTACAAAAATTATTTATATAAATTAAAAACAAGAGTGAACCAAGGATAGATCCTTGAGAAACTCCACATAAAATATTTAATACTTCAGATTGTATATTACATACATATTTATTATGTAAATTATTGTTTAAAACCATTAGTTATTTGATTAACAAACTCAATGATTGTATGTTCAGTTGAGAGGTTTTTTTGAAATCCAAACTGGTTTGGATAAAATAATTTGAAAAATTTTTATTTACAAAATAAAATTCACCAATTTTAATTTAACTTTCTTTCTCAATATTCAAAAAATCCGCTATAAAATCATCGAAATCGTTTGGCCATTTTTTAAAATCATTAGATCATTTTTCAATACTAGCACACTAAAGTTCAATATCTCCGGCTCTTTTGCTCATATATGATTTTTTTTTTTTTTTTTTGAGTATTTAATACGTTTAGTCTTTTTAATTTATTTTTTATAGATTATCCTCCTTTTCATGTTTTGAGACTAGTAACGTTAATAAAACCTAGCTTACAGCTAATAGCATTTTCGTTCCAAAAAACTTTTATCGATCATCAGTTTATTTCTTTACATGCAAATGATTATTAAGAAAAAACGTAGAACTTATTTTTTTAAATTAGAACTTAAATCAAGTAACATAAAAGTTATATGATTTAAGTATATATTGAAACAATCTAAAGAAAAAAAATCTTTTTACTTTATAAAAAATTTAATGGATCTACCTTTCTTTTTCAAAAATTACAAAACCATACTTAAATCCTTACTCCTAAGTTTAATAGATTTTACTAGAATTTAATAGAATTAACATTTTTTGTAATATGGCTAGGGTGACTAGGGTGCCTATTCACAACTCTTGATGAGCTAAACTAAAGTTTAAATGTATGCGAAGAATTTTTTTCGTAACTATTTCTATAGTTACGAAAAAAATTCTTCACATATTGTAATTGAAAAAAAAAAAGAGATAAGTTCTTTCAATTACAATATGTATAAGTTTTTTTATCAAAAAGTATGACATATTTGGTATGTATGGAAAAATTATTTTAACCAGTATTATAATCTGGTAAAAGTAATGCGACTATAACAAATCGTCAAGCGTAGTTTTATTTAGAAAAGATGCAATTTTCAACATAAAAGTACCTTGGGGCTTCGCTATAGATAAGTCTATGAATTTGATTTTTTCATAAAAGCACGTATTGGTATTTGTTTTCAATAAATGTAACTTGACATTTCTAATCAAACATTATTTGCAAAAATTATCCATGAAAATCCATTTTTTTATAAAAATTAAAGTTACTATTTTACTATTTTCAATACCACACCTAAATGAGCATGTTTAACAACAATGTCACGTTAGATTTAAATGGTAGTGTTAATTGTACCTATGGTAGTGTTAATTTTTCTACCAAAGTCGTTTTTGCATAAATAATCATAACTTTTAGCCCCATTTAAAAAACTGTTTTTAGTATTTAGTATAATTTTTTGAAATACTCGGGACCAATGACGTATAAATATAACAATATGCGTAATTTGAGTTAAAAAGTGAAGCCAGTCTCCGCGGACACTTTTTAACTCAAGTCACGCATCTAGTTAACTTTTTAACTAACTCCGCAAGATGGCGGAGCTCCGCCATCTTGCGTTACGGCTAAAATCTTAAATTCTGAAAGCGCTTCATAGAGATATATGACTAATTTAAACTGGATATAAGTTTTCAAAGAGGTTTTAACTGTTAAATTTTTAAGAGCAACTACTTCTTTTTGAAAAGTTGCAGAGTTATGGTTATTTCGTGCTGTGCATATGGGTGTACAAATCGCCCAAAACAAAAACAAGACGTATCGTTTCACAGGTATAATGAAACACGAATAAGTATAAGTGTTTCATCATACATGTGAAGCGACACGCCTTATTTTTTTATTAGTATAATACTAATACAAAGTAGTAATGTACTAATACTAACAGAATTATACTAATACTAACTGCCGTTAGTATTGGTATAATACAAATACTAACAATACACTTATACTTAAAATGTAATACTATTATTTATTGTATAAGTTATTACAAGGCATATTAATAATTGTATGTTATTAATTGCATATATTATTTTTTAATTTATTTTACTTTGTAAATTGGGCATAAAGAAGTCATTATTTGTACTGCATACTAATAATGTTTACTTTATAAAAATCTTATTTGTACGCAAAAAAATATTAAAATACTTAAATTTAATAACTTTTTAATTTTAATGTCTAAGTAATTTTATTTAGTTTTAATTTTTAAGTAGTTTTATGTTTTTTAGATATAATTGTCGTTTATATATAGTTATGTTCGTTATTTATTTTTCTTTCTCAAAGTTACATTAAATAAGTGCAAAATCCGTATATAAATCGACCAAAATCCGTACATAAATCGACCAAAATCCGTACATAAATTGACTGATTTAGATGTAGTCGTATGATTTTTATGATGACTTACATGTTGATCATTTTTATGAGGATTTACATGTAGTTAAAATTTTATAAAAAAAATCGCTGCTAGATTTTAAACCATTAGACTTAAAACGTAAAATATATTACCTCGAACCAATTCAAGGAATGAAAGAACAAAAAAATTTTGTTAAAAGAAAAGGAATGAAAGAACAAAAAAAATTTGTTAAAAGACGTTAAAAATTTACTGGTTTTGATTCATGCATATTTTTAATTGAATATTTTTAAATCTTTTATTACTATACTAATACTTTTATTACTATACTATACTACAGTTTTATTTTAGGTTTTCTACTGTTAAAATATGATTTTAATTTTGTAAATTTTCATGAGTTAAAATTTGCTTTATTATTATAAGTGCCTTTAAAACCTTAAACATTTAACGGATCCCCAATATCATAAATATTTCAAACATAATTCATGTCTGGTCTTAAATAAAATATAATTATACAAAAGTTTGAAATATATTTGTTATTTATATATAAAGTTTAATTTTGCTGTGAGCATATTTTCAGCAAGAGTGCTCGATGATATCAGAGCTATATAATTGATTTTTTGACGAGATTAAATAAAAAATAACTACATAATTTTTACAACTAAAAGTTTTATGCGTTAGCAATCATCAGCTAAAAAATACATTTTTGTTGTTGTTGTTGTTGT